ATTTTTTACTTTAAATATCACGATAACAAGAAAATTTAAATATGTTTAAAAGCTAATGTATGGAACAAAACCTATGCAACATTTTTATCTCTAAATATACATAGAAGAAAATATTTTATATATCATATACATATTTTGAGAATCCCATTATATGTATGTATTGTGAAAATATATTTTATGGAACACAGTTTACAAAAATTATAAATAATAAAATACTTGAGGCATCTTAAATACTTCAATTATTGAGGACATTATTTTCTTTACTGCAACATCAATTTTATATATACATATACATAAATGTAAAATGTAATCAGTATCAATTTATATATAAAAATTTTTTTTGTAATGTAACAATATTTTTTTGTGATAATAATTTATAATATTCAATTAACAATGTCTATATATATATATCTTATACATTGCTTAACCTATAATAAGAAACATATACTAAGTATGCATAACCTATAATAAGAAACTGCAGTGCAACAGACAATATGTAGTCAAAGTTTTGTAGTATGAAACATTATTAATTATATTCAATTTACAATTCTTTTTAAATAAAATTGAATAATCAACATACTTTTGTTATGTAAAACATATTTCATTTTAGAAAAGAATGATAGACACATATTAATCACGTGTTATACTGGAGTTTACATTCATACAGCAGGAGAGATTATTATATCATATATACTTGCATTTAAATATATTTAAACCACAAAATTAACAATTTATTTAAAAAGAAATAAAAATGAGTGCTAACAAGACAAAATTATCAAAAAGTATTTTAGAAATGAAGGTAAGTTAAAAAGAATACATAAAATCCTGTGTGAAACTTTTTATTTTATTAAATATTATTTACTTATTAGTTTATGAAACGGACGAAAGAGAAAGTGGAAAAACAACAATTTCAAGAAGAAGGAGAAGAATATTTTGGAAATGAATTGACAGAACGTATGAAGAAAGATTCGTAAGTTTCTCGCAATTTTTAAATCAATGTGTTAACAAATTTAAAGTTAACATATTAGAATCAGATTTTAAATTGCATATTAAGATTACATATTTGAATAATTATTAATATATAATAATTAATTATTAATAATAATAATAGTGATAGTAATAATTAAATTTTTTAATAATTATATGTTATTAATAAATGTATCAAATAAATCTATTTCTATCATTATTATAATATTTTTTATTTAAGGGAAAGATTTATTATTGAACCTAGTTACATCTTCTGTGAGAAATTAATCGATGGTAGAGTAAGTTTTCAAGGAATGAATCCTGAAATAGAAAGGTTAATGGAAGAAGAACAGAAGAATGAATGTGTAAAAGTAAAAGAAAAGGAAGAAACAGATATTTCAGATGAGCAAATGGCACAAAATTGGAAAAATTATAGGAAAATGACAAAGACTGAACGTAAATATGAGAAATCATTAGAAAAACAGAATAATGATAATGAACCATTATCAAAGAAACCAAAGTTTTTAAAGCCACAATATTAATATTTAGTAGGAATCATTTACATGTACACATAATTAAGTTTGAAGAAAACATTTTATGTAAATATTATTTATTTAATTGAATGATGTAGTAGTTTCAAAAGTAATTATATAATTGTATAAAAATGTAAAAAATTTATACATTGATATTTGAAGTAAAAGATCTATATTATAACTGGTCTTTTATTTCAAATGTAGCAAATTATTAAAATAATTTTTATTTTTAACTAATATTAAAAAAGTATTTAAATATAATTCAACTAAACATATATGTAATATTAATTTGTTTTTAAAATACATTAGAATTTTGTATAAAATAGTTAATTAAATTTTAATAATAAATTATAAATTCTAATTATCTTTTTCTTCAATTAAATCATCATATTGATGAAGCAAATTTCCAAAAATTTCTACTGATACGTTATCCGTGTTGCTTTTTTCTAATCCCTTTTTCCAAAGAAAATCAAAATTGTTATTGGGGAATTGGATTCCAATAGCTTCGAAAATGTTTTTTATTTCTTGTTTAGTTCGAAGCTAATATTTGGAGTTTTATTAGTAGTATATTTATATCTATACTGTAAAATAAAAATTTTCAAATATTATATGAATACTTTAGAAAGATCCGTTGGGCTAAGACCATGTTTTGTAAAAATATTTGGAAGTATAAGACTATAAGCAGTAGATCTATCCAAATTTTCATAAGAAATTCCTGCTGTTGGAATATCTGTAAAAGTAATGACATTTGATGTGAAATATTTAGTATTATTTTACCTATATTTTAAATATATTTCTTTAAACTTGGAAAATTAATATAACAATTTATTTAAAAAAATAGAAATAACGATACGTCTTTTCCGAAAATATTTTTATTATTTAAAATGAAATTTTATCTAATTTTATAATTTAATTTATAAATAATTAATTTACTTATAATAACATTTACTTATAAAATACATTTATAATAGAATATGTATTCTTTGAAACAAACTCTAAGTAATAAATTATTAAAAACATATACAGTAGGACCTCTATATTTATATAAATTCAATATCCACGATTTAAAAATGAAAACAAACATATAATAATTAAATAGTATACTAACTTGTAATATCTATTCTTTCTATATTCCCTAGTGTAGTATTATATGTAGTATTGTAAAATTGACATTCTAAAGGAATTTCTGAAAAAACACCAACATCAAATATTAATGTGAAATATAATTTAGAAAGATAATGAAAAAATAATAAAAAAAAATTATAATAAAAAATTTATAAAAACAAACAGAAGATTTAAAAGTTTTGAAATATATATTTTAATATTACTTTCTATTTTTGGTAAGATAGGAAAATCATATTTCCAGTTTAAAAGATTTAGTAACTCTTCATATTTTATATCACTGTTCTTACGTATTTGAAGAAGATCTAACAGAGGTATCAAGAATGTTTTATTTATATGTATTTTATGGCTAGCTAAAATAGAAAAAACTTTATCTTCTGGTAAAATGTCTGTAAAATCCTATGATCATAAAATATTTTTACTTAATATAGAATTTGAGTTTGAATTCAAGATTTATACAAATAATAAAATGTAATAAAAGTAATGTAATACTTTATCAAGAGATAATAAATCTTCATAAATGTCGAAAAATGATATTTCTGGAATATATTTCTTTAATTTCTGACGTAAACTATTTATATATTGTAAATAACTTTGTTGTACTACTACTTCATTACTTATAGGACAGTCACTTAAAATATTCAATATTTCAGATGTTTTCTTCCTCTCATATACATTATCATTATGTATCATGTCTATTAAATCTCTAAAAAATTCAAATTAGATTAATTAGATTGAAAAATATATTTTGAAAAATTTGAAAGAAGAAATTATTATCTACTTTCATTCCAAAGTAATATACATAATATTTTTTATATTTAATTTCATAATTTATGTTTTTTATTTAATTTCATAATTATGTTATTTTTAATATAAAATTTCACTTTCTCAATTTTTTCTTAAATATGATTTTTCAGCAATAATATAACTAATAGCTTTAACATAACTAATTACAATAGTCTTTATTACTTTACTTCACCAATACTAGAACGTGAATGATTACAATCTGCACTAATCCATGTTAGAAGATTTTTTAATCGTTCACCTTTGGTATTAGCATTCAATAATTTTCCAAAGCGTAAATTTTCATCAAATGGTTTGTTATAACTGAAAATATAGTTTAAAGTTTTGTAATATATAAGTTAGTAATTATTATTTAATACATTTTACTATTTCATACTGTCTTTTAATTTGTTCCGCAGGTAAATAACTATTATGACTTTTTTTATACATTTCAAAAATATTCTGTTTTGGAATATCACTTTCTATTATTTTTTCTGTAAAAAGATCAGCCACAGTTTCTCCTAATATTAATAAATAATATTTTATGAAAATATCTTATAAATTTCATTCAGTTATAAAATCCAATAAGTAATCAAATATATTAGAAGTATTATATATGAAACTTATATTTCTTTTTTATTATATGCAAATAAAGTTGATAATTCATACCAGACTTAAGTTTTTTTCCAAAAGTTACTTCTAGTGGATTCATACCTATTGGTAAATTTGGAATTTGATAACGTTTTTTACCAACTTCTTTGTTCCAATAACTATTCATAACAGTATTTCTTAATTCAGAAATGATTGTTTGAAATGATGTTTCTTCATATGGTTGTAAACATTCTTTCACCTTAAGTAAATTGCAAACTCTTTTAAATATTACTTTTATATTTATATCTATTATATAAAATACTTTTACTGTTATTATTATTAATCAAATCATAAGAAGAAGTTACAAACATTAAAAACATAATTCTGAAAGTTATAATAAATTTCAATCTTACACTAATTGTTTGTTTAACTTTATGTATATTATCTGTGTGTGATAATAATTTTTGTATATGTTTTTCATTATGAACAAGTATATTTTTTAAAGCTTCAACTTTATCTTCTGAAGAATATTCTCTAAAACAATCTTTAATGTTAGATGTTACAAATTTATTTCTCTGTAAATAATAAATTACAAAATCATTAAAATTAAATGATTAAAAATTAGTAATATATATGAACACATAAAACATTTTTTCATTTTATTTTTAGAATAACATATTGCGCTTTTCAAATTTACGAGAGAATGCAAAATATAATCATATAACTTGAAAATTCTTTAAAATTTTGGATATATATATTTTATTAATCTTACATTCGGATTTACATATATCGAATAAAATATTTCGTAATTAAATAAAAAAGTAATAATGATTATTAATATAATATAATAATCTTACGAAGTTTTTGTTGTATGAATTTCCATCTTCATAAACTAAAACCAAAAGTTTATCTCCCGAATTTAAATTACATTTTTCCATTTTGGAATAAAATATTAAATAAACAAAAAAAACTTAAGTATAGTATTATCACTTGAAGTAATTGCAATTAAACTGTCGTATTTTCTTAACCGATATATAAAAACAAAAGAAATATGATATAAAAATAATATTATATTATCATTCTCCTCATATTTCGTTTTAATATTTTTTAATAATTTGATAATTATTTAATGTTAATAATTTTTCGTAATATGTTTTATGATAAACGTAAAATAAATTTAAATTTCACGATCGATTATAATTGATTTTTGATGAACTTAGCATTAAGTTGATGTCGTATGTTGCGATTGTGTAGTGTATATCTACTGTACGTTTATATTATTGTAGCACTGCAGAGAAATTATAATATATAATATAATAAGTGACATATGTAATAATAATGACAGCAATTAAGCAAAATACGAAACGTTCCAAATGGGCTTTGGATTTCGCTCATAAGTTCGTAATTTTTCAAGTTATATTTTTAATGTACACTGTAGTTTCTTTTAATACATTACTTTATTTAAGTCTAAAATTTGTTTATATTTATATATCATATAATTGGACACATTTTAAAGTGTAAAGGATAAATATGTTAATGAAATTTGTTGTATTTTTAAATAATTTTACATAATTAAGTGGTTTAAAAATATAGAGGTTATGATACAATATTTTAATCTATCATTTTATTCTCTTAGTAAATAATTCAAGTTTTAAAATATTATTATTTTAATTAATTATTATTATTATTACACATAGTATTAGAATATTAACTTAAAAGAATATTGAAAATGTCACAGTAATAATTTTTTTTTTATACATGAATTGTCTATTTTGTATTAATGTAGATATCAATTTTGTGTCTGTTAGAGAAAAAGTTTTGAACAAAATGATATAATTTAGAATATATATTTTTGTAGAAATAAGCAAGAAAAGAATATGGATATTGCTTCACCACCAGGTTATACACCTGCTGTTGCTTTATTTCATGCTGTCGATTCAATTAGGGAATCTGATTCCAATCATTTGATAATTAAGAAATCATGGGATTTAGCCCTAGGCCCTCTTAAACAAGTTCCAATGAATTTATTTATAATGTACATGGCTGGTAATTCTATATCAATATTTCCCATTATGATGGTTGGTATGTTGATAATTAGACCAGTGAAAGCATTATTTATTCTTCAGCAAAGTAAGTATATCATGTAAATAAAGGTATATTTTATAATAAATAAAAATTAGCTATATAATATAGACTATACCTACTTATATATAATATATAACATAGACTATACCTAGATTTTGAAAAAAATTAACAAAAAATGCCTAAACAAAAGTATCTACATAGAACCAAGATATTTTGCATATATATATATATATAAGGAACAGAAGGATAAAATAGATTAAAAGAGTAAAGGATATAAAATAAATTCAAATAAATTGTTGCAATCAGTTATGTACTAATATTAAAACAATTTTTGTCTTTTAGCATTCAAGGTAATAGAAGGAACTCATGCTTTTGGGCAGAAATTTGTGTATTTTCTGGGACAATTGGTAAATATTGCATTAGCATTATATAAATGTCAATCAATGGGATTACTCCCAACACATGCATCTGATTGGTTAGCGTTTGTAGAATCACAAGCACGGTTGGAATATTCTAGTGGTGGATTTATATATGTATGACATACAATTACTTAAAAAATATGTACATTTTAATGAAAATATTCATTGTAAGTTTAGATACATGTTTATGTACAAATTATAAATACATTCACTCACTATGCAAAATGTTTTATTGAAATCAAACCAAAAGATTGTATTACATGTTTGTATTACATGATTGTATTATATACACATATATATGTACAACAAACTGCATTGAAATATGTTTTTTAAATATAATGATATTAAATAAATCATTATTAATTATTTCTTTTTGTATTCATCTGCAATTTCCTTTATACGTTCTATTATTTTACTAGGATCATCTACACGAGGTATCTGAAATAAATTAACATTTAAATTTATTAAATGTCAATCTTATATACACAATTAAAAAGTCATATTACATTTAAAGAAATGGCAATTTTGCAACATACCTCGTAGTTTTGACTAATATATATACCAGTATAAATTCCAATGCCTAAGGTTATCTAAAAAAAATATTATTGTACATACATTTTTATTTGATAACAATACAAAACATAAAAGATATTTAAATATACCAAAAATTTAAACATTTTTAATTGATTATTAAATACAATATTAATGTATAAATAGTATCTGTTTAGCTTTTTAGCCAACTTCTAAAATCTAAACAGATTTTATACGAAGATGAGATCTTTTTTCTTATTCTTAATGATATTTTCGGTAAATGTACAATTTACGCAGACTCATCCATTTATGATAAATATTTTATATCTTGATAGTATTTATAATGTTTATTATATGTAAAAGGTTATTTACAAAAATTAAAAGTTTGTATTGTTCACAAGTCAATAACAAAATTACAAAATTTTTCATTAAATTTCTTTAAAGTTTTTTACTTAAATTCAGTTTCGTTATTATTCGTTAAATACAATATCGTAAAAGTGACATTTTCACTAAAAACTTGTATTGTAGGATATGATCATGTATATGTATATACTTCCTTTTTGATCAATACTACAAAATGCGGGAATATTTGAATTATCATAAATAATTTTTATTTTAGAAATATTAATGTTTTAATTGTTCTGAGAGTCATATCTAATACAGCTATGTTATAAGTATTTAGGTAATTTATGAATGGTAATAAATGTTACCATTCATTTTTTTCAGAAAGATTTCCTTATTTTTAATTTAATTTGTTGTTTTTGAATGAATTTTATTATATTTGTACTAATAAAATAATTAACAATTAATATAATTAATTAATGTAATTAATATATTTAGTTTTACGTATAGTACATTTATTTATTTAATTTATTAGTTTATATAAAGGTTTATATATACATATAAAATTCATTTCACTTTCCAATTATGTTATTTTTATAATTGAAATATAAACAGTTTCTTTAAATGTTAAAAATACAAAAGTAATAAAAATATTAAAAAAGTATTAAAAATATTAGAAATATCATATTTATTTAAAAATTCTATACATTCATTATGAATACATTACATTAACAAAAAATAATTATTTCACGTAATTCATAGTTTAAATATGCATACAAGTTAAATATTCTTATATTATTTTAAAATTGTTATAAATCTATTGAAATGTTACACGTACAATACGAGCGTAGAATATTTTTATTTCATTCATAACGTGTTATTAACACTTACAATTAGACAAGAGCACATTAATGTAGCGGAAATAATTGCAAGAGAAAGCAGGACAGATCTAATTGTAAGATTTTAAATATATAATATGTACGTATATATACACACGTATATACACATATTTTATATGTGTCGAGCTAAACATTTAGATCATTTCATAGATCATTAATGTTATATTTTTAATTTTAATTAATATAGTGGTAACAATTCATTAATTTAATGTTGGCAAAAGTATTTTATATAATAAATATGAAGATGTGAATTTTTGAATTATTCTTATGTTAATATAGTAATTATTAGAATTTATAGTTCGATTGAAAATTTGTTATACAAAAATTGTATCAAAACTCTAATTTTCTAGTTAACTAATTAAAATTCATTAGTGTTTTTAAAACATTGTTTTATACATCGAACTTTTTCCAATATTTTTTCTCTTTTATAATAAGTCATTTAAATTACTCCTTCAAATTACTGAATACTGAATATGACGCAACTCAGAACATTCTAGAGCATGATTGATGTATTTGTTTCACAGTTAATGCTTAAGAATTTATATTTATTTAAGATGATTGTTCTTATGCTCAAATTGCCCGATTCTTTCTTAGAGAAACATCTAAAGAGAAAATAATTTTATTATATACATATTTGGTAAGTTGACATATCGCTACTTCAAACTATTTACATCATAACCAAATCATTATCTTAATATCATTTTTCAAGTAGATCAAAAGTATAAAGTGAATATCTTTCTTTATCCGAAACTTTATTTCTCAAATATCTTAGCATCCGAATGGTAATATTACTGCAACAAAAAATTTATGCTAGCAAATGATGATTTTTCAATTACTAGCAGACATTTTGTTTTGACAGTACACACATTTTACTTATTATTGAGACTTTGAAATATAAAAGTTTATTTGTTCCCTGTAGCTTTATTTGTGCTTCATCTTAAAAAAAAAAACTAGTACTCCAAATATGCTGCACTTCTTCTATCCTTTAAGGGTGTAAATAAAGTTTACAAGTAAAACATGCCTTTCTGCACCGGTATCTCTACGACCAGTTGTGAAACGATGGAGGGAGATCGGCTTGCATGATCGGCCTAGCAAACTCATCGCCTCACCGGTAGGTATTTCGCTTTAGTACGCGGCCAAACTAACATCATTTTGTAATCCAGTGTACACACGTGAATATTTCTTCTCGAGTAATACCTGGCTAACTAATGTCTATTATTATTTGACTAGTTTCTACGCGGTGTTGAACAATTCGATCTTCTGATTTGCCCGTGACCGTACGGCCTGAGAATTCTCAGCCTGAAAAATCAACATCGAGACTTTCTTGTTACACGACACGCTAGAGAAAAGCGTAATTCCTTTCTACCTGAATACATTCCGTAATACATTCGGTGCGCAAACGATTAATTTTCGTATATACGTCTGTCAATTTCATACGGCCATGTACTTTCTGTAAACGTACCCGCGACCACACACGGCAAAAGTGAAATTTTCTGTGATCGTTGAAAACTCGAAATACGTATTTGTCACATTGATTTCGGGTTAGTCGTATGTGTCCGTTTCAGTCAATAGTTGATGCTACGATCATTAACAAGCGAAGATAAGTTTAAACATGTCAGCTACCATTTCGAAAATATCAGCCGCCAATGTTGGGAATGGGACCAATGTAATTTGCGATAAGAATCGTGTAAGTACTATAACGTTGATGTAGAGCGCCGTTTGTTTGGTCTGACAGTAATTAAATGTTTGAATAACGTAACATTCAATTATAAAAAAAGGGACTATTAAGTTAAAACATTCGTTGCTACGTGAAATAAATAAGTGAATAACGTAACATCACAAAAACTTAAAATATCACATTATATTTTAGTTTTAATTTTTATCTTTCGTAGATAAAATAGCGTGACAATAATTAAATGTTAACATTACTTATTTGTATTTGGCATTTATTTAATGTAACAATAAATGTCAAATTTAATATAAACGTTTTCATTTAACAGTCTCTTTTCAAATCAATATTTCAAATCAATAATTAATTACTAGAACTTTTTAATTACTTAATGAATTATTTTATTATGAATTTCTTCAATGGAAATTTAATATATTAAATTAATAAATCAATGAAATGATGGTGAACCATGTTTAAATGATTTCCCATAAAAATTATACATGTAAAATTAATGTAAAAATTTATGCAAAAATATTAATCCAAATACATGTGCAATTAATTTAATACTAAATATGTTATTCATGCAACGTGAACGTACATTTTCTGCATGCTAAATTTGTTATCCCTTTCATAAGATGTAACATACTGACAAATAACATAATTAACTTTATTTCACATTGCTTTTTGAAGATACTTTTCTAAAAGTAATAATTTTAAATTGCCGATTCTCACAAAAATTATTTATACATTCTGTCGACGGAAGTCAGAGATTTAATGAAGGGATTCAGCAAAGTATATTAACGTGTCATTTCCGCTGTTTCATTGTAAATTATGCTTTCTTGAATAATCAATTTCTGCGGTAAGAGAATGGTAGCCAGATTGCTTTCCCCCACTAATTCTTACGAACCCTGATTTTCTTTTAGTTCGATGGCGATAATATTTCCAGACGTTTTTATTTTGAGAAACATAGAGAAAGTTGTTTTTACGAGATAGCATTTTTGTATTTAAGGCTAAAATTAGACGAAATTTTAGAGTAATTTAGTTTTTCTTTCTAAAGTAACTTTTTTCAAAAGTAATATTAAAGAATATGCTGGAATAATAAAATTTAAATTTTTTTAATTTATTAAAATGAATATAAATTTTAATAAAAATCTATTTTATTTAATTAAGGATTTATCTGAATATACTTACTGATAATGAACAAATATGTTTTAATGTTTTGCATTTTAATAAGAACATGCTACTGATAATACTAAGATAATTGTTAAGCTAAATATTACTAATAAGATAATTGTGATTAATAAGTAAATACTTTTCTTAATTAGATATTAATCTTTTGTAACTTAGAATATAATTATTTGCCATAAATATTTCTTCCTTAAATCATACATACGTAAAATATATGTATTTTATACACTAGAATAATTATTATACTCATAAATAATTTTTATTATCTTATAGTATCTCTTAAAAAGAATCATGTTCACATTTATCTCATTAAAGATCAAACAGTGAAATAATTCATAGAAATTGCCTAAACGCAATGTCCTTCGATGACGTAATTAAAGTAATTTTTTTAGGTAAAAAAAATGCATTAAAACTATATACTTTTGCCCAGTATACAAATGAAAAATATAAGGAAATACAAAGAAGAGATTCTATAATTAAAAAAAAAAAAATACTTTTATGATAATGCTGTAAATTCTTGTGCTTCAATTTCTTGAAATATAGAAGAAATTGAAATATAGATATTATAAAAATATAGAAGAGAAGTGGAGAAAGAAATAATAACTAAAAAAAAAAATAAATTCCTTTCGTAATTAGACCACTAAAATCCAAAATTCCATAATACGGTTTAAGCGAAAAAGTTGCAAATAAAACTGCAGCGGTTCTTAGTAGGTCAAAGCAATTCTCAATACTCAAAGTATTATTTTCTTTTAGACATACGATAGAAAGTATCATATTGTTTAGAAGATTCTTGTACTGTAAGTTTCAATTTTTATCATAATATGTATCTCTTTTATAATAAGTATTTTAAATGTAAAAATATTAAAAATTGCTGAAGAAATATTATTAATAATGGATTTTTATTCTAATATTATCTTTATATAAATTACTATCTAATACTATCTTTATAATAAATTATAAAAAAGTGATTTATATAATATTTAAAGAAATACACAAATCTAATATGAAAAAAGATTTAATAGGAAAACTTAAATGTTATAAATATTGGACAATATTTGCCACTCCTAAAACGTGCTATGTATTCTACTATATGTTATTTTGAAAATTATGCTAACTGAAAGATATTTCAAAATAAGAGGAAATTTCATTATTGATAAAACAGAATTTGAAAAATTGTCAAATATCATATAAATTCGGCTGATTTCGATATGATCGATATAATCATACAAATGAACAATTGGCAGAAGCTTATTCTACATGCAAAAGAAGGTCAAAACAATTTCTTTTTTTATTTAAGGCTTCGATAAATAAATGTTATATCTGAATTGTCATACATATATTTAATTGTATTTTTATAAAATTTGATATTTTGTTGGTTTTATACATCAGTTGTTTCAAGAAAATAGAAGATATTTTCAACTTAAATAAATTACAAGATATAAAGTATCCTTAAATGAAAAAAAATCAAAATTTCGAAATGCAAGAATTCAAAAAAGCTATAAAATTGAAATTCAAGAAATATGAAAGCCTGACGTAAAGTAGGAAATAATTGTGTTAGAATACGTTGCTCCTATATTTCAGTTATATGATTACATCGGATGCAATAGAAAGTGTGCAACAGCGCGTGTTTGATAGGCTCCAATATTGAACTAATACTGATGGCTATTGAATAGTTTCTTTTAGCTATTAGTTAATAATCGTGAACCAAAATCATCGAGACGATGTTATTTAAAGTTCAATGAAATATTATTTATAATTATATTATAATACATATATCAATTAATTAATTATAACAATTATATTATTTTTCATAAAATATTACATATTAGCTATAGGAAGAGATAAAAACTATGATAATTGTGGAAATAATTGTGGAAAATGTACATATATTTCTCAAATTTTTATTTAATAATTTTTAATTAATAATAGCTGTTTCTGATAAATATTTGTTGGAATAAAAACAGAAGACAAGTTTAAAAATAACATTTAATAAATAACATTTTAACGTTCTCTCTTCATGCAAATAAATAGGATTTTATGCTTCTATTGCTATTACTATTAAACTTCTTTAGAACGTTCTTTAGAGCTACAAATCTTTGTAATTTTTATTTAGACATTTTTCGTAAATATTCTATAAATATTTAATGTTAAAAACAGTATAATCTTCATATGTAACGGTATGTATTTCTTTGTGGCAACTGGGGCATATTAACTGGTTTTACTGTAGTTCCTTTTTCTTATGAATCTTCTTAGTGACCGCAATTTCATTGGTATTTTGACGAATACAGATACATTCTCAAGAAAGAGAATCTTAATTGTATGTTTAATTTTAAATTTTGATTCGATATTCTATATTACATTAATTATGTACATATGAAAAAGATTGTTTTAATAAGGAATTTGTACGAGAAATTTTTGTATGTTGTACAAAATTCATTTATTTATACGCATTTATTTATATGCATGTTTTTTTTTTAAATAATGATTGTGAATCTTATAGTTACTTACTGCAGAATTTAATTTAATATTTTGTGCAATTTTAAAGAATTAACATCAGGTTTCAATCATTATTTTATTCATTATACCGTGTAAAATTATAATCTTATTAATATTAATAAGGTTAGAAATAGACCTATTATTTAAATTAAAATATTTAAACAAGTAAAATCATGACGTACTTAGGCAATAAATGTAAATCAATATAAAACAAGTGGTATTTGATACTGCTGGGTGACGATAATATCATTATTGTGATAAATTTAAATCAGAGAAAAATGAAAAATACTAAAAATATTTTAAAAGTGCGTGACATGTCATCGTCCATTTAATTTAGAAATGTAAGAGACAAAAATTACTATGAAAACAATTTTATT